CTTCTGACAGCCTGGTACCTCGAGAAGTGGCAAGAGGCTTACTCAAACGTTATTGGCAAATCACTTGAAATTAACGGACTTCCCTACCAAGCAACGATAAAATAGACTTGGAGGATGTCTAAGAAAATAGATAATCTCAGAAAAAAATGCTGGATTTTGAAGTTGTGAGTACAGTTTTTACAAAGATTATTTTTATTTTAAGTATATTATGAAGAAAAGAAAGAAATAGCGATGAATAAATTCAGAACTATATTCCGTATTTTAAACCACATTGCAAGACTTTATCCTCAAAACTCCACTAATTACGAATTCAAAGTTATTGTTCAAAGTGATAGAAGATAATGTGATTTAAGTGAAAGTAAAACATAAATATCGACTCCCGCCGTTTAAAAGACTATTTAATTAACCTCAAATAAGTGAACTAAGTTATTTAAGACAAATTTAAACATAATGTTTTAGAATTTAGAACTACAATGGCAAATATTACTGAGGATCCCGATAATTAAACGAAGACATGTCTCAAAGGACTTGTATCCAAGCCAAAACTATTAATTAAAAAAAAAAGTAATTTCCGTACAGAGTACTAAAAAAACCGACCTCAAAAGTGCGCAAACCCGATTCATCTCATCGGAAAATCGGTTCACAAATACCGGAGTCATCGCGTAACATACATATTATAAAAAAAACATACATATAATAAATGTTTTTTTTTTAATTTATTAAGGCTTTGGCAAAGCCATTAACCTAAACATGAAGTTTAATTATGTTTCTGTAAATATGGCCGCCACAAAGAGGATAAGCAATTTGAGGCGGCGTGCTTGGATTGACTCGGGATTCCTTAAAACAGGCCGATACGGGTATTTTAGTTCGAGATTCGTATAATTTCGCGTTTTAATCTTCGATTAAGGCACAATAGCACTATCCTATTCCACTTTAAACTAGATTTCACAAAAAAATTGAAAGTCAAAATAAAAACGACACTTTTCCCTCCAAAAGTTCCAGAGCGAATCTATAATAAATGTCAAAATTACAACTTGTGGCGCGATTGATGACGTTGAGTGTTAGCTGAAGACTTCTGCTGTAATATACTGAATTGCTCCTCGGCGATACAAATAATTAATACCACCACATCACGAAGTACACTACGACGACAAAGCAGATTGTATTGAAGTTAATATAAGCAGTATCTGTAATTTCGGAATACTGTGAGCAAATAATTACGTACATCGCCGGATAATTGTACGAGTAATTCAAAAAAATATAAAATGCGAAGAATGTAACAGTGCGTTGTCTTTACAAAAGTACGGAGTTGGTCATACGTAGGTATGAGTTCGTTGCTTTCAAGGACGAAGGTGGTCTAGTTTATCCCACCAAAGATGCTATCCAAATATGCAGAGTAGCAGAGTTAGAAATCCGAGAAATCATGGTCAAATCAAAAGTTTACACGAGGCCGTCATTAAGCAAACCTCTTCTGATTAGTAACATTTTACGATATTTTGTCAGCAGTGACATTCAGTTGTCTTGCCATTCACCAATCACCAACGGAAAACCATCTAGTAAATTTAATTAAGCAGTTGCAAGTTTATACATTAACGTGCGTTTTCATTATTTAAGTCAATCGATAAGATCTTCTATTACAAAAAGACAGTTATTTATCATGCTTATTGTATTTCAAGGACAATGATTTTATTATTTGAAGTCGATTAAAAATTAAAGTTTAAATAAGGTAATCAAATTTTTAAAAACAAGTTTTAAGTTTTTTTTCTACTTTATTAATATACCACGACTACTTGTAATCAACGAATACTTGATACAAAAAATGTGGCACTCTCTGTTTTTATACAAATTGCTGTACTTGCGGCGTCTATCTTAGCGATGAAAGAGACTGATGGTCGTATTCCAGAACTTTACTCAATGCTCAAGTCAGGATTTGAGTATGGTTTAAAGCATTCAAAATCATACTCAAGTCCCTGCCATTAGAGTCGTATTTCCAGTGCTTGTGTTTTAATTGCAAACCTGACTTGAGCATTGAGTAGAGTTCTAGAATACGACCCTCAGAGTCGTATTCCAAAACTCTACTCAATGCTCAAGTCAGGACTTGAGCAAACTTGAGTATGATTTCAAGCACTGGAAATAAGACTCTAATGGTAAGGACTTGAGTATGATTTTCAGTGCCTTAAATCATACTCAATTCCTGACTAGAGCATTGAGTAGAGTTCTGGAATACGACCCTTAGTCTTTTATGGCATTTTATAACGACTCGACTCCATTTTACAGGACTCTAAAATTAAGACTGGAGGTTCAAGTTTTTATTAATAAGACTCAGGCGTTATACTAAAAGACTTAAACGGCTTATTTAAACCATTTATTTCCACACACATTACAAAAAAAAAATATTTCCAGAAATGAGAAAATAAAGTTTTTTATACAATTTACAAAATTAATTAATAGAAATAATTATAATAAATCAAAATAAAAAGAATTAAATCAAAATTAAATAAGAATAAGTACATATGTGTGTGACGGACACGGGCTCAGGAAAATGTTGAAATCAGTTTGTTATGATTTCAACCCTGATTTTCAGCCCGACCCGGTTATGGCAGCTCTACATGGTCACACACACAAATCGCAAACAATATTAATAATAATAATAATGATATTAATCAAATTAAAATAATAGTAATAACAATGAGTTGTAAATAATAATATTAACAAAAAATAAATTTATTCTATACAATTATTCTACACGATATATTCTACATATAGACATCGCACTGACTGTAAGTTTTTACTATTATTGCGTTTCATGTACTCACTTTTTGATCTACCAGCATATTCCTCTTTAAATGCATTTTCAGGCTTGGAAGGGATCTCATACGACTCGACTTGTTTGCAATGGACTTATACCTATTTTATGTATTAAACCCGAAGTTTATAAATAAAAATGACGTAATATGTAGTAAATAATCACGTTTATTTACTTATAATAATAATTAGGATTCAAAGAGTAGTTTAAGCGATAGGTACGAGATTTTAAGACCTAATTATATAATGATTGCATACAATACTTTTTCTGCGAGTAAATTAAAATAATGAAATACAATCAATATTTAAGTCTATGGAAATCCAGTTCTAAAGTGCTCTTTATTTATTTTGTGTAATATTGGTATGTAACCACTTTTCTTGTTATGGAGACCTGGTACTTTTATTTAAACTTCTTTAGAAACCCGTGTACAGTAGTGAGATACAATTTATCTGTAATACATAGAACATCGAGTATATGATCAAGCGATAGTATCAGACACTAAAATTTGATTTTATCAATTATCAATTTTGACTGTTGGGTTCTGTATCCATTCATTTTTATATTAAAGAAACAAATAATTCCCAAAAAACAAATTCTTGAATTGGTTCTATCTAATTAACTGACTTCTGTGAACAAAGCTACGATCTTAGAATAATAACGCATAGAAACCTAGCCCGCACACGCTAAGTGAGGCAAATTGAAGCGCTCCCAAAGGGCCTACACGAGCGGGCGGGCCTTCAGTGCTCAAGGTCTCCAGAATTTTAGCTAAAAATGACGAAATGTGCGGTAAATGAGTGTAAAAATACGTCAGACAAACATAAAATAGATACTAACATCGCATTCCACGAGGAAGTAACGCGTTTCAACGTGTATTTTTATATAAATATTCACTAAAACCGAAAATTAATTTCGTTGCAACAGAGACGAAAATGCCTACATGAATTTGATTTTTGCCTCACTTGTGACAGTTCGTTTGATATGAAACTATCATTCTATGCGTTATTATTCTAAGGCTACGATAATGTTATCCATCAATCGTAAAATAAATATCTTGTAGGTAGAAATAAAATCATGCCATACGGCTCATGACTCGCGACTCCCCAGGCTATAAGGCGCCCTATAAGTCTTTTAAGCTAGCTATAAGTATAAGCTATAAGTCTTTTTAAGGGTTAAAAAACTAGACTAGTCGTGAGGCATTAAAAATTAACCGAGGTTTAACGTCGGCGGACTAAAGCAGTGCTTAATTTGTTAATATATAATTACACATTTTTTGTAAAACAAAGAAACAGCAACAAATCATTCTCTTGAAGAGAATGCATTTGATAAAGATGCCTCTAGAATAAAGTTACAAATTTATGAAGTAACAAATGAATTTAGTAGATAGATGTATTAATTTCAATGAATGATTTTGGGTTTCGACTTACGTGCTTTAGTCCGTCGACACTAGAATTTTCTATTTACATTAGATACAATAATGAATTATGCCGTTTTGAAATTTACTCTAAAAGCACATTACTTTAGAATAGTTGGCCACTCAGGTTATTAGGCTTTTTTTTATATCCAAGATGCTTATAAATGAAAAACAAAATATTTTGCACTGGAAATAAATTAAAAAATATAAAAAAAAACAGTGCTATATTGTTGCCTATCTATTAGCACAGCTAACGTAGAATGTTTTGACACCAAAAAACCGAAGAAATTCATTCATTTGTGGTCGAGGTGTACGAAAACCTAAAATAAAATAAAAATAATTCACTTTAAACAAAAAGAAAAACATGCCTTAGGTACCACTTCGGATATATTTTTTTAAATATTTGTTTTAAGCTGCTAAGCATAAGCTGGCTTATCCATTCATTACCGGACATCCTTTATTTTAAATTACGAACGGTGAATGCTTTTTTATCAAAAGAATAACAATAGTAATAGCTAAAACGTTATAAATTAAATTTCATTCTAACGAAAGTTTTAATTACATGAAATCATCTGTAGGTACTTTGCTTACTTGTAATGAAAGAGACGGCCGTTAAATTAAAACTATGTTTGCGTTCGCGGGAATTGGCATCTTTTGTCTCTTTTAAACTAGTACGAGATTGAAGACAAACTTTTAGAACTATACAAAACGGACATCATTGTGTCATATAAAATATATACATTAGAATATCAAAACCAACTTGATACAAAACAATTTGAATCCCACAGGCCATGAAACAATTTTTTTTCACTTTATGTTAATTCTTTAATATAAGTAGATGTAGGCACAATTTTTATTCTTGTGCATTATTTTATTTTGTTCATATTGTAAATTTTGTTGTTTTATTTGTTTGATAAATTCGTTGTGTTCATTTGCAATGAGGGAAATCGTTAGTATTCAAGTTGGGAGATGCGGCAATCAATTGGGGTCTAAGGTAAGTCCATAAAAATATCATATCAGCCCCGTAAAACAATGGGCATGTAAACAGTTTCTTGGGATGTCCCAAGAAACTATTGTGCACAGGTGTTAAGAATTGATATAACCTCAAATGGCTTTGGTTGGTACCGCATAACAGTGAAAGTGTTGAGTCAATCACTTTAGAAAATATACACTGTGACATATTAGACTTAATATACACTAGACTTAGTACACGATGTGAAAACACGTTTCTGAAAATTTTCACGGTAGACAAAAACGAACTTACATTGAAATTTTACAAGAAAAACGGTGTATTCAGTAAGAACTTTACATATACCAATGATTTTTTTTTATATCAACTGAAGTAAAAAGAAAATTTGTCGTCGTAATAATGGCATCTTTTGGGCGAGTCCGTTCTACCGTAGACCTCATTTTTGCTGGAGCAAATTTTCACCTAATCGCGCATTCGCCTTGGATGGCGAGGCGAGGTAGCGATAGAAAGTTCTATCTAAATAAAGGAACATTAATTAGCAATTTTTGATTTACTTATAAAAAGAGAAGGGATTTTTATTATTTAAGTCGCTTTCTACAAACATCCGGTATTGAGGCTAAATTAGTTATACATTTAGGTGACAAATTGGTAGACTACACAAAAAATACAAGACATGTATGTCCATATCCACGATAAACCATAAGATTATTTCAATATTTCAAACCTTTAAAACAATAATCTGTTGCAGTTCTGGGAGGTGATATCTGACGAGCACGGGATCGATCCGAGCGGCTGTTACTCTGGAGACTCTGACCTTCAACTTGAGCGCATCAACGTCTATTACAATGAAGCTAACGACAAGTACGTACCGCGTGCTGTACTAGTCGACCTTGAAGCTAGTACGTTGGATTCCATCCGCGGCGGGCCCTATGGCTGTATCTTCCGACCAGACAACATCGTCTGCGGTATTTCCGGAGCTGGCAACAATTGGGCGAAAGGATACTTCACTGAAGGTGCCGACATTCTCGAGTCAGTACTTGACGTTGTCAGAAAAGAAGCCGAAGGATGTGATTGCCTTCAAGGTTATCAACTCGTCCACTCTATTGGAGGCGGAACTGGTTCCGGATTAGGAACTTTAATCCTCGCCAATCTCAGAGAAGAATACCCAGACAGAATCATCGTTAGCTACTCTGTTGTACCCAGCCCAAAAGTATCAGATACTGTTGTCGAACCATACAACGCAACGCTGTCCGTACACCAACTGATAGAGAATACCGATCAGACGTACTGCATAGATAATGAGGCTTTGTATGATATATGCTACAGAACATTAAAGTTGACAACACCGACTTACGGAGATTTGAATCATCTCGTATCAGCGACGATGTCAGGTGTGACAACCTGTTTGAGATTCCCTGGACAACTTAATGCAGATTTACGGAAATTGGCAGTCAATATGGTGCCATTCCCGAGGCTACATTTCTTCATGCCTGGATTTGCGCCTTTGACATCCAGAGGCAACCAGCAATACAGAGCGTTGACCGTGCCGGAGTTGACGCAACAAATGTTCGACGCAAAGAACATGATGGCAGCGTGCGACCCGCGTAACGGCAGATACTTGACCGTCGCTGCAATTTTTCGTGGCCGCATGTCCATGAAAGAAGTCGACGAGCAAATGCTAAACGTTCAAACCAAAAACAAGCATTATTTCGTAGAATGGGTCCCTAACAACGTAAAAACGGCTGTGTGCGACATTCCTCCGCGGGGCTTGAAGATGTCCGCTACGTTTGTTGGGAACACGACGGCTATTCAAGAGTTGTTCAAGCGAATATCGGAACAGTTCGCTTGCATGTTCAGGAGGAAAGCGTTCCTTCACTGGTATACCGGGGAAGGAATGGATGAGAGTGACTTCACGGAAGCTGACAACAACATGAGTGACCTTATATCTGAGTACCAGCAGTACCAAGATGCGACGGCTGGAGACGAATGCGAAGGCGAGGAAGGTGAAGAAAATCAGCGACGTGACGACAGTGATGAGGAATAGTTTTTTCTTGGCACGGATTTGTGTTCTCCTGTTCATATTTACCTTGTGTTTGTTTGTTGTTAATTAATTTATTTATATATTTTAATAAATCAGACGTTATTTCATTGATTTGGCTTCAACGAGGGTTTCTTTGTTTCAATAATAAGAGTAGGCAGTTCTCAGGCAGTTATCAGATTTAAGAATAGGTCAGTTGTAGAGGTTGTTATGATAATGGTTTGCCTTGCTAATAGACTCATCGTGAAATAGACGTGTAGATGCAATACCTATACAAAAGAATCTGATTCAAGCTACCTATCAAATAATATAAAATAAATAAAACAACTAAAATATACTCGCTCACTAAATTCAACTGTAAAACAGTTGTCACTAGTTGGCTTAAAAATCTAAGTTATGATGAAACTGAAAATCTCTTAATTGTTCCAACTTAAAATAAAATCTAAATTATGATTAATCTTAAAATCTGTGAATTATCTCAACTTAAAATGAGTAATACTAAATTAATATCGTTATTTCATTATTTTGGTAAGTTGGGTTTTGTATACACCTTGCATAGTCAATCACACTCTCTGTCACACACAGAACACACACACGCACACGCAAATACACATACACATACACACACGCACGCACGCACACACCTTCACACACATACACACACCCTCGCGCCTTAAGTCTATTAATAAGTCATTTCTTGATGTAACTATCTAAGTATAAGTAAGCTGTACTTGTCTTTGGTCCGGAGTGTGGAGGGGCTGGTGATCTGTAATACAGGTCTCCTAGTACGGATGCCAGTCTCTCACACAGACTTAAATATTGTACTATTTAGATAATTAAGCACTGTTTTTGTATTTATACTAAGACTTTGTGAGAGAAACAATAAAGATTTATTATTATTATTATTATTAAATCAAATGTACCTCTACTGATACAGTAACTAGTTTTGAAACAGTCTTCACGACGATCCGCTCGCGAACCACGTACACGCCATGTCCAGTACCTAACATAACATGCAATGGTCAATGTATCCCGTTGGCCAGATTGATGGTCAGACCGGTCTGGCCAATGGGATTAAGGCCTTTCTTTACCGTAGTACTATCAGACAGTTCCTCTCAGTCCAGATCAGCATGAGAGTCAGAATGGCGAGTGTACCTTAACGGATCCTGACAAATATCATAATAAATAATATTAAGGACACGCGCTTGTAACCTTTTCAATCAAAACAAGGAAAGATCCTGACATATGAAGAGGCTGTATGGTGGAACATGAACAAAAAAATTACGAAAATATTTACAATTTTGATTTCGCTTTATCTTCGTTGTGATAGAGGTACAAATTTTTTAAGAATAAGTACTAAATAGTATAATTTTGGGTACATTTTTTTGGTACCAAAAATCTCAACACATTTTGTGTTATTTCTCAGAAACTATCCAGCAGATCGACTGAAGTTTCCTTTATTTCAGAGTACTATTAAGGTACAATTTTTGGAATAAGAAGTTTTTATAGTTATTAAATAAATACTGGTAATCCGAGGTACACCCGCCATATTGACAGTCAATACGGCGGGTGTACCTTTGATATTGCTATAACTTCGTTCTGATGGAAGTATAAATTTTTTAAACAAAGGCACTAAATAGTACAACTTAGGTACATTTTTTGATACCAAATTTGTCAGGATCCGTTAAGGTACACCCGCCATTCTGATTCACCAGATCAGCTAGTGATTATCATTGAGCGGTTACTTAAGCTCGCTAGAGAGTATGTGGCCTATTTACGGCTTCCTAAAGGTGCCTATCATGACTAAGCCACATACTAGTATGAATAGATTAGCCATACTCAGTTTGCATTTATACATCGCGTTTAGCTTTCCTGATGAAAGAAAAAACTCTTTTTGAATTAGTTTTATTTGTCACATGCATGCATACAAATAAAAAGATGCGATAAAAATAAACACTCAAAAAGGTACGCCTACACTAAACAACGGACAAGTACAAACAAAGACATACACAAAACATTGGACACACAATTACTCTTCCTCCTCCTCCTCTTCCTCCTCCTCTTCTACTTCTTCGTCAAATTCTCCTTCGTCGTCAGCCGTTGCATCCTGGTATTGTTGATATTCTGATACCAGGTCGTTCATGTTGCTCTCCGCTTCGGTGAACTCCATCTCGTCCATTCCTTCACCGGTGTACCAGTGCAGGAAGGCCTTTCGTCTAAACATTGCCGTGAACTGCTCCGATATCCGCTTAAACAATTCTTGGATAGCGGTAGTGTTCCCGATGAATGTTGCAGACATCTTCAGTCCACGAGGCGGAATGTCACACACGGCTGTCTTGACGTTATTCGGAATCCATTCGACAAAATAGCTGCTGTTCTTGTTTTGGATGTTAAGCATTTGTTCGTCCACCTCCTTCATGGACATGCGTCCGCGGAATACTGCAGCGACGGTAAGGTAGCGGCCGTGGCGCGGGTCGCATGCCGCCATCATGTTCTTGGCGTCGAACATCTGCTGCGTTAGCTCGGGCACGGTGAGCGCCCTGTACTGCTGGCTGCCGCGAGATGTTAATGGCGCAAATCCGGGCATAAAGAAGTGCAGACGTGGGAAAGGCACCATATTTACTGCCAACTTCCTCAAATCAGCGTTCAGCTGCCCTGGGAACCGCAGACAAGTAGTCACTCCAGACATAGTTGCCGACACCAGGTGGTTTAGATCTCCGTAAGTTGGAGTGGTGAGTTTCAGTGTGCGGAAGCAAATATCATACAGTGCTTCGTTGTCAATACAATAAGTCTCATCAGTATGTTCTACTAGCTGATGGACGGACAGCGTTGCGTTGTACGGTTCCACTACAGTGTCGGACACTTTAGGGCTTGGGACGACAGAAAAGGTATTCATAATGCGGTCAGGATATTCCTCTCTAATTTTAGAGATAAGTAGGGTTCCCATTCCGGAACCGGTACCACCTCCAAGGGAATGAGTTAGTTGGAAGCCTTGAAGGCAATCACAGCCCTCCGCTTCCTTTCTGACGACATCGAGGACAGAGTCTACGAGTTCTGCTCCTTCGGTGTAGTGTCCTTTAGCCCAGTTGTTGCCAGCTCCCGACTGGCCAAACACGAAATTGTCCGGGCGGAAGATCTGGCCGAAAGGTCCGGAGCGGACCGAGTCCATGGTGCCGGGCTCAAGGTCTACTAGGACAGCGCGAGGTACGTATTTCCCTCCTGATGCCTCATTGTAGTAGACATTGATGCGTTCCAGTTGCAGGTCGGAGTCTCCTTGGTAGGCGCCGGTGGGGTCGATGCCATGCTCGTCCGAGATCACCTCCCAGAACTGCAACAAATCCACGAAATTATAATAAACCGAACCCGTTGTCAGTAACGTTCTAATACTGCTATGTAGACGAGAAAACTGAACTGTGTGAAACCTAATTTCCCGTGAACGCACGTGTCAATTTGCGTAAATCATTTGGGGTAATGATTATTAACATAAAGATCAATCACTAAGATAAAATTCCTTCAATCCGGCCGGAGTTGGCAAAGTACAAGGCACATATTAGTCCTCGTGCTCCTACCTGGAGCGCCCAGTAGGAGCATGAGGAAACGACCGTTCAAACATCGTGACATTCAATAAACCTAAAAATTTGTTTGGGGCAAGTCCTGGTAAGCAAGTTTGCAATACTTAGGATGACAATCTACCATATTGTAATGATTTTTTGTGATGTGTGATAACTCTCTGGAGCCTTTCTAACAGTTGAAAATACCGTACCTTAGCTCCGATCTGATTACCGCATTGCCCGGCTTGGATGTGGACGATTTCCCTCATTTTCTTCGATTCACAAAAATTTTGCGCCTTAAATTTAGGTAGTTAGAATTTCACAGCCGTAAATTCATAAATAAATAGTAAAAAAAAGTAAAAAAAAATTATGCAGACTTCTGCATGTGCGTAGCACACGAAAATTTCATGAAGAATGAACAGCTACTTTCTTTTGTCAATGACTCTCAGAAATTTGGTTCTAATTTTAAATGTCTATCGCGAATTTTATTAGTAACCAGTTTCTTCCGCCATGGAGTACCTATCGGTATAGGTTAGGATTTAAACAAAGGAGATTGTTACCTAGTTCGCAAATTCATGTTTATTTTCGTATTACCCAAACCTTCATACGTGTATACAATATCGAGAAATTATGATAGACATAACATTAATACGAGGAATAAAAATAAAGTTTTTGTTAACAGAGTCTACAAATTAACTGATAAGGTATCATTTTCCCAAAAAAGAACTATTTAAAAACAATATACATAAATAACATCAAATATGAAGCTACTCTAATGCCTTACTGCCTACTGATTGGTGAAAATCATCAAGTATATAACCAGAAATAGAGACGAAATGCCTATTAAAATTTGTATGAAAACTATTTTGCCAAATCATTACGGTGACAACTGCGCTCCGATTGGCCAGCCCGAACTCGAGACAATTGACGGGTGTCTTCAATTGTTTCATTTCAAATCCAGTTTAACTTGAGCTTTGCTATAACGGACGTTAATTGAAAAATGACATATTTAGTATATAATGACGGATGAAATGTGATTCCGTTTGTTTTGTGAATAGATGTTTTGTGTTTTTCCCACACCATCGAATGGAACAGCCCCTCATTGTTAGAGATATTATCTTTATTACAATAAATACAGAATATTTTTGGAATATACGGAAACGTACACACAGGTTAATTGTTCGCTGTACTATTTCAGCTTTCTAATTTGTTATTTCAGTGCAAACGAGACTTGATATTTAAAAGTGATATAAGGCCCATTTGCCTTATGAGTTGTCAGTTATGGATGGCCCTTATTTCGTCTCTATTTCTGATTATATACTCGATGGTTAAAACATAAGCGATACATAGGTAATCACGGGCAATACTATCGCCTTCTATTCTATCTCTTTGTTTTTATGTTTCGTAGCGTTTGTCTGGCTTTCGAGTATGTTGTCGTGGATTGTTAACAATATATACATTAAATACCTACTGGTTGTGTCCATGTTGTGTCTCATTATTTTAATTTACTTGTAGAAAAAGTATTGTATCTAATCATTACATAATTAGGTCTTAAAATTTCGAATTTATTACTTAGGCCAAAAGACTGTCCTCGACTTTAGGAACTTATTATGCAACGATTACATGAAATACTATTATAGTTTTTTGAATAATACCACTTGATTTACGAGTAAATCTCACTGAGTAAACTATATGTTGCAAATTGCAATATCCACGCATCCCTCATGGAAGAATGGCAAAGTGGAGTTACGTCAAACATGTTTATTGTCCCATTAGGTACAGAAAAGTATATCCCACATCCTCTCTAATTCTTGTAACTGTATCTACAATATTAGTCGATACAGTTACAAGAATTGGAGAGGATGTGGGTTATATTTTTCTGTATCTAATGAAGTAATAATCGTTTTTGACATGACATGAGGGGTGCACAATGTAAGTTTCCTTGAAAACAAGGGTACTGCGGCTTCAACAGAAGCTGGTTGAAAATTTCAAAGTAAGCCATACTATATATTTTTGTAGAATATAAAAAAGGATGTCATAAAAGTAAACAACAGTTTTAGTAACAGTTTAGTTTATTAAATTTCAAAATATATAATAAATACTGAGAGAAAAATATTTTTCAGTATTACCTTACCAGTCAAGTGGTTAGAGATCTTTGAAAGATGTTCATACATAAATTTTAGAGTAGTGTCAATTTTACTCAGAACCCTGACGGTCTGGTTTGTGTGTGACATTACAAAACTTTCCAAATGAAAAAGAGAAAGATTCGTAAATATTTTTAACAATAGTTGTTTAACACATAGTGATATATAGTTTCAAAACTGTATTTAATTAACAAACAATTTTACTGTAAATTTAATATATTAAATTATCAGAGTCAAGTAAACAACATAAGAGGGTGTCGATCAAAAAGCTTATAGTAAAAGTTGGTGTCTTGGGTTATAGAAAAATAATTCATAGTATAGAAGAAAAAAACATATTAAAAAAATCCAATCTTTTTCTATATTTTCCAACTATTTTCAAAAATTTCCATAATTTGAATTTTTTTACACAATAAGCCAACCCTAGTCTACTTGAAGAGGATTAAAGGCCTGGAATGAACGGTACTGGCGGTTGTATTATATTAATTCTCTTTCTAGCAGGTACTAGACATTTCAACGCACCGAGATCCTATGACCGTAACAGGGGCCTTCTCCCATTCTCCGTCCAACGATGGACGTTGGACGGACAATGAATAAACAATTATTGTCAAATAAATAATACTTCGATCAAAGTATTTTTTTTCCATCCTCTAAATAAATGACACATGATGCGAATGAAGCTTAATACTTGACATTGTCATGATTTGGTCGAGTATTATTTATTTGACATTAATTGCTTCGGACCGATGTGAGATGGAGCACGAGAGTAGACATATGCATGACAAAAACACAAATTCGGACGCTTTTTGCCATGCGAACAAATGACACTGTGTCTACTCTTAGGCGCCGCCGCGCTAAAGGATGTAATGTGTTGGACACAAGCAACCGGCAACTAGAAGTGAATATTATATTAAAATTTGTATTGTATTGGCATTCAATTATTTTTGTGAAATTATTCCACTACTTTGTTATAATTATTAATACAAAGATCGAACACTCAAAAAAAAATCCTTCGATCCGCCGGATTCGAACTGACGTCTTCTAGCATACCATGCCAGAAGCTATACCAACTAAGCCACGGAACGAACCAGCGGACCTCACGAATTTTTCTATGTGCTTGCGTCGTATTTGGTTTTTCAACGACTTTTTAGCCGTAGCGCCATCTATGTGAAATCTATGATATGTCGTCACCTAGTTAGATACCTTTACAGCAACCAGCCCCGGCTAGAGGTGTAGCTATTCATTGTATTTAAATTTGTATTGAATTGATTTGAAATTATTTTTATGTGAAATTACTCCACTAGTTTGTTATAATTATTAATATAAATATCGAACACTCAGAAAAAATTCCTTCGATATATTCTATTTTAGAATATTATATACCCGTATACTATAAGCTTATGATCGTAACACACAAGTCTGGCCTAAATGTAAGATTATTATAATTTAATATAAGTAAACGAATATTCATAAATAATGTAATATTTATTACAATTCATTACTCAAATTACATCACATACCATGTCTTTAATCAGAAACGACGATGAAAATTAATTTACACTTATTCTCAATTTGAGCAAAACGTAATTTAAAATATTTAAAATTTTAATCAAGTAAAAGTAGGAATTTGAAGGAAATTAATTTATTAATAAATGCAATATTTAATACTATCTGACTTTTGATCAAATGGGGTAAAAATAATTGGGACGATAGCGTCTGAGGAAATTGCGATTTTTTTCACTGAGAAAAAACTTTTTGGTTGAGAGCCGACGGAAGTGTTTAGTTTTAACAACGTTTTTATTGCCATAGAGCTAGGTACAAGATCCAAACCAAAATAGTTCCATGGCAATAAAACTTTGCTATAGGAAATAATGTTGTATTTTCATGACAATAAAGACTTTGTTATGGGACTTAAACACCAAAACCTAAACACATAAACACTGTCAGGTCTCAGCAAACAATGTTTACCGAAAAGAAACTTTCAAGTATTTTTTTATATTTATAATATTGATTTAATTTAATGTGAAGATGTTTTATCACTGTGATATATATGTATTTTTGTGAAGTAACTTCACCATTTTGTTATAATTATTAATACAAAAATCGAACACAAAGAAAAATTCGTTCGACCTGGCAGGACTGGAACTTGTGACCACGTCAAACCAGGGCGATATCTCCCTGTCAGCTAAGCTGCAGGTCAAGTTAGCAGATCTTACAAATTGCCATGTGTTGTATTATTCACCATACACTATTTAATTTATGCGGATATTTTTGAAACGACGCAGTCGCCCGACAGTTGCATTTACCCCAATGAACAGTTCAAAATAAAGTATAACTTAAATATATACGACAAGGGTGCCTTTTCCTAAAGTGTGCGTAAGGCGATTGCTAATAATAATATTCGTCCTTTTACTGAGCACGGTTCTACTCGAAAGAAAAGCCGTAAGCCCAAAATAAGTAAAACCATGTCAAATTGATCCTCTGCAATTAATCATCTCGTCCATTCTTAATACAGGATTAATGTTTCTTGGAAATGCAAAGAAAATTAATTTCTAAATATTTGATTTGGTCTTGTTCAATTTTGTAATTGATTCATTCGTATACATAACTGTTGTGCAAGTAGACACTAAAACTTATTATAATTAAGTAATAATATACGCTAAAGAATAAAATGTACTTAAAATTCACAACTTTCACAAGGAACATATTATCAGGATTGCAACAGTGACTAGAGAACTTAGAATATCACTGTTTTATTTCAATTTGATGGCAAGTACAATACTGCTAGTACAGTACTTCTCTAAAGAGATTTTGGGCTTTACTACGCTAGTTTAATGCATCATTAGGACATTTTTATTTAATTTTAAATTAGCCCCCATTCTCCAATAAGCAAAACATGAATGACAACCATACATATAGGATGACTACCCATCGCCGCGCACCGGCTCCGCCCATTTTTCCCTATGCATTGATCCATGCACCGCTACGGACGCGTCTGTGTTACGACCGACGGGTCTCTTTCCAGTGAAACGAATTCTATAGATTTTCCCTTCCATACTGTAAGTTGCGGCCACTACAGTTGTAATTCACTACCGTGGATTTTGTGTGTGTATTCACAAAATTCATGATAGTGATCTGTTCAGCTCTTTTAGTTTCTTTCTAATATATAAAGGACAAAATAATGAATAAATGTTTATTAACAAAGAGCA